GAAATAGAACCGTGCGGTTTCCATTAAGACTGAAGTTGTGTCACACCCACTGCTACTCTTTCGGAATTGTGAAATTAATTAGAAGTGACTTCTTAATTATAAAAAAAAAATGAAAATTGAGTTCCATTCATCATTCCCGAATATTTTGAGTCTATTCGGAGATTCTGTGAAGTAATAAAAGAAAAGATCATTAGAAATAATTGATATCTTCTCGATTGTCAGATTATTTCCTCAAAAGTCTGCAATTTTTGGTAATTATCGGTGTCGAATAGAGTTCAAAATTTAAGTCAATTCCACCCAGTGCTGAAGTTATTTATTAATTAAGAAGTTTGTGTTTAATTTGATTTGAATAACATTTCAATGAACTGGTCAACGAACCTTGCACTTAGCGATCACGAGGCGTCAACCGCATACACTTCGAGTCTAAAGATCAGCTTTTGAATGACTTATGTAGCAAGAGCTTCGTTTCCAAACTCTGTCCAATCCCTATTAAATGCCTTTATATTAATAGTAAAATTATTAAATAGCAATTTTTGTCAATAAACGCTAATTTTACATGCGTTCGACTTTTCCAGTCTAACATACTCGGGGATACAGACCTCCCGAAACATTATACGAGTTTTAATTAAACAAGAGATGTAGTATAATGACCACATAGACAAAATATTCAGCCTGAAATATTGGCTTTAAATCATGTAATATTGAACCACTTACGTGTGGCAAAGGTATTATTGGATTTTGTTATTTGTTTGAACGGCGCATAAAATCGGATTAAATAACTTAACAAACATAAAAGAGTGTTTTAATTACATTAACCATACTTATTCGACTCACTCAGTTGAATCTATTTTAAATAACATAACAGTTGGTTACAAGAAGCTGGAAAATTTATCTTAACAAGGCATTTTAAAACAAGAGCTTTTCTTATTTGGGCACTAGAAGCTCGATAAGAATTAAAAAATTACGTAAAACGACTATAAATATGGCATATAGAAAGCGCTTTACCAAGTTAAATACTAACATACACTAACTAACCATTAACTTCATCATTATTGGGTTAGTTAATAATTATATATAGGTTTAGATTTTTTCATGATTCTCAAGTCCAATTATCAAAATTGTTGATCTTGTAAGCTCACAGGAGATAACAATGAGTGGGAGTGTAGGAGGGGGGGGGGAGGTTTCGAAGAAGTGTCAGATCAGAGTGGGCAAAGCCATGGGGCTGGGGAGACAGTCTAAACTAGGGTACTGTGAGAAGAGTTCACGATTTGCATCATTTGTTATTCGCATGAGCGGCCAATGAAACGTTTCCTTTGTCAGTTAAGTTAGCTCAGAAATAGTAGTCAATATATGCATTAAGTTATTAAAACTGGTAAAATAATCAGACATATAGCGCAGTTCCGACATGGAATTCATTGCTTCTCTACCTCTAATAAATGAAAGTGGAGACTCGAAAATTTACTGAACCTCAAATTAAGATACTATTCCTTTGTTATAATCATGTTATAAATAAAATAGCCTGGACAAATCTAGGTATAGGTTTTCGTCTGTATCGATTAAATGGGAAATGCGATTAAGTAATTACTATTCTATTATTGTGAACCAATATCAGTTGCCCTTTTCACAAAAAATAATATCCGATCAACCTAAATTCTTTAAAATATGCCAAGTGTCAAAAACATTGAGAGAAATGCACACTTGCGAATCAGGTTGGTGATCACAATGTTTGATGAGGGGGAATGCGATATTCACACCTGAAAGGCAGAAGGAGACATTCGCTCTGCCCAGATAAATTTATGTGAACATATAATGGGTTTGGATAATTTAAAATACGAATTTTACACGAAACTATCCGTTTTCAAACCTATGACAAGTTGCTTCTCGTTACTGCTTTAGGATTCTATTTTTAACAAATAGAAAATTCAATAATTTCAAACAATTTTGGTTTTCAGAAATAACATACATTAGCCAGGGCTCAAAGGCCAAAGTACGCTAACATATGACCTGTTAAAATGCACCAATTTGAAAATAGTTTGATCAAAATATCAATATCCCAATGCAATATATTCAGCGAAATTAGCAGTAAATTTACAATGCTAAAGAATTCAGTAACGTTTTAATAGTGCCTCAATATGACTTGTGTTATTATAAACAATTTGTTTAACAAATAAGCACCGAAAAAATAATTGCAAAATAAATTTAGACAAATAAACAGCTTGTTGGGAGATGCAAAATAGGAATTGCTGACCTGCCAAAATACACTACCTGATTTACCTGAGCTGATCAGATAAGTTGACCTCCCTGCTGAGAGTCCAGAAGGCATTCCGGAGAAGGCAGTTAACTCAATTAAAGTACATTTTGCTATGAAAAAGAACTAAGAGAAACGTTCTCTCCTTTGTGAACAGTCCTTTGTATGTCGCCCTGGATGAAAAGGGATCTTGATTTCTGCAGTTAATTTTCCTTTAAAAGTGCACATTTCTTGATGCGATATAGAAATGTAACAATGACAGCTAATTCCGATAGATTCAATTGTGAAGTGGAAAAGTTAAGCCGATTGAGAGGGGGAAGTAGAGTGTAGCAAGAATTAGAGCGGCGCATTTAAAAAATATGTTATCAATTGAACCTGTTAGTGGGGCAACTTACTTGTGTTCACAACTAACAGAAATTGGAACAAAAATACATTTCCACTAGACCACTTCTTCACTGGTTAATTGTCTCGTGTAAACAGAGATAATGAGAAATCTGAGGGTTATATACCAACAACAAACGGATAAAACAGTAAATTAGGTTCTTCATTCACACAAATTTGATTAGATTGGCTTGTTCATAGGTTGCCTAAATCGATGAAGAGATAGGTAAGTAAATAAGTCAATAAGTTCACTGTGGCCCTGTCAACATCACTTCTGGGATCATGATGAGGTAGCTACGCTGTGTCGTTCGAAGTCTCCATCACTTTTTGCTTGGCTAGCCTAACATAATCCTATACACTTCATACACAGGATGTTCATCTACCAAATCAAATAAAAAATGAGATGGAAATTTCCACACAAATTCACTCGGCGAAGAATAGATTCTTCTTTTCCTTCAGCTGGTCATGACAAATGCACCAATTATAAGAATGTGGACAGGATGGCAAAAGGTGGTGATGGTGATGATGGATAATCCTATTCAGTATATTAATGGATATTGAGATGAACGATTGGGAAAAGGGTGGAGAGGAAATAATTATGCGAGAGGTGTGCTCACATGCACGGGAATCTCCACTACCTCAAATAGGTTTCTTAAGTGCATGTGATGAATAAATTGACAGCTCACACAGTGCCTAGTCGACTTCTCAAAATTGTCACATTATCCCTCAAAAATCCTCCTAAGAAAGTAAATTAACTGACCCTCTACGTGTCTTGGTCTAGTGGTTAAAAGTGTTACCATTTTCATTTTATGATGAAGAAAATGCGGAACTATTTTAGTTGAAAATTATTGTCTTATGTCTCTAAAGTGGCTAAAGCATTGACACATATATTGAAATAGGAACCGGTCAGATAGAGAGGGAAGGAGGGAGAGGGAGAGAGATAATGGGCAAGAAGAGGAAGAATAAGAAAATTTCCGCTCTGGGTGGGATTTTTGAAAAGCAATGGTGAAGTAAATGATTCTCCACTATTGATGGATTCACAGTACCATAGGTGAAATGATCAGATGTGGTCTTCACTGCCGAATTCTCCAATGAATTAACTCCTATAAAAGGCAGCTTGAGTTAAAGTGAAGTATGCCGGAACATCACTCCCACACTTCGAATTTAATTTTATTCAACTGTAGAACCGAGTATTGATAGGTATTACTCTCTGTTGAATTGTCAAGAAGTGAAAATCATGGGCTTCGTGCTCCAAATCTCCATACCTTTTGATTAACTCATGTTCTTATGACCATCTAAGCAACCGCCCCTCCATTATTCCTATTATTATAGTGAAAACAAACATATTAGCTAATGGGAAGGAGTAAAGACGACTTCCCCTCACGGTTCCTTACATGTGCTGAAACTGAGTTAGATGCAACAATGATAAGTTGCTGAATCCTTATAGAGAAACTACTTTAGATATGGGATGGTTTGCGGGAGATTTTACAGCACCTTCAACCCTCCGTCATAACAGAATGTAATTTAATGGAGCTCACTTTCTCCTCCTTTATCCGGAATTTATTCCGGACTCTAAGTATGACTAGTCAATTTGAAAAGGGTTTTCGCAATACGTGAGCTTCTTGTTTTATCATATAAGTGTTTAATTGCACTGATTTTCTATAAATCATTTTAATGCAAGTTGGTTGATGTTATCATTTTCCTCAATATCGCTTTACAGGAACGGCATAGCGTACAAAATACGAATTTATCAATTCTAGTTACAAAAATTACTTTATTAATATATCGGTTTCTGTCATTTGTCAGATCTATGGTTCTCTGTGTCTTAATACGCATATAATTTATAATGCTTCAAAATGTAACAACGCACGATCTTGCACCAACTTGATCAACCCATATGATATCTTAAAAGATTCAAGCTCACTCTGCCAAAATTCCACCGTAAAGGTAGGCAGATATAAAAGCTGCAAATGCTGCATCACATTAAGATAATTCTAAAAGGCGTAAAGTTTTAAATTTAGTGATGGCCTATAATTCAGTTGATGCTCGATCGCCATTTCGTACGAGTGTTACATTAAAATACGACTCAATTTTTTGTATGTATGTATATATTTTACGATTTTGTCTTCTATAAATAATACTTAAATGAAGGCATAAAATTTCAATCAAGGTCAACATTGCTCTAAAGGTGAGTGCTAACGTTTTGAGGTGCGTCATGGTGTTGTATGTTGATTGTAGTTCCAAGTTCTCTATTTTTCTTAACTTTTATGCCTCTTAACACGCTATTTAAAATTTAAATTTACATAACCTGATTGCTTCTGGTAACAGTTGTTGCACTCATGTGTTATTTAATTGTTTTTTGTTTCAGATTATGAAGCTCCAAGTTTTCTTTGTCCTTATAGTACTTCTTGCTGACCGTCTCCATGTCAGTTGTCTAGAAGCTAGCTCAAATTCATTTACCACTTTTGGTGGTAGCGTTAGGTGGCACAATTCGGATGCTTCTATCAAGCAGTTTGCTTCACAACTCAAAATCCATGTGCACAGCCTTCCAGATGATACTTTACGAAAGGTTGTTGATGTACTTCCGAATGGCGCGTATTCTGTCTTTGTATCCGACAAGGGTCGCTATAAAATCCGTCTTTCCACTCCACCGGGGTGGAATTTCATTCCTAGTGAAGGTTATGCTATCGACTTAAACGAAAGTATCCAAGATGTTCAAATGAGCTACGTTTTTGATCTTACGGGTTTTGACGTTATCGGTCAAGTTGTGACAACGGGAATGAATACTGGGCCTTCAGATCTTGTTATAACGGCCTTTTCAAGTGATGGTACGGCCGTTTCCCATACCAAAACTATATCGGGCGGAAGCTTTACTCTTGTTTCTGTTCCGCCTGGAAAATACCTAATTACTGTCGGGGATTCTGTATCAAATAGCAACGATGGCGTTCGGGCGAGCACTAGCGTCACGGTATCTACTACTAGTGTTAAATTAACTGAACCCCTTGTTCTGGAGGGACATTCTTTGCGATCTCAAGTGACTTTCAATGGTGAAGGAGTTGCTAACATTCCAGTTCTTTTATTAATTTCTAAGTCCAGCCAATTGGGTGCTGCTGATTTGGAGAAACTGGGCTGTTCCCGACCAACCAAACAACTATCCCACTTAATTCCAGCGGAATTGAAGCATCGTGTCAATTCAAACCTTGCCTGTCAGGCTGTCAGTGGGAGTGATGGTAGTTTTTCCTATTCTCGTTTAGCTGGAGGAACATACTTCCTTGTAGCTTATCACGATTCAACTCTCATGAAATCCAGTGAAATTAAATCAAATCATCTTGAATTAAGCCCATCATTTTTGTCAGTCACTATGGAGCATGCTGACATTCAAATCGAATCGGGGTTTGAAGTCATTTCTTACCGCCTTTCCGATGGAAAAGTGAAACAGGCTTCTGGAAGGCCGATTGTAAATGCTGAAATTATTCTCAACGGTTCCCCGGTAACCAAAACTGATTCATCTGGTTTATTTAAACTCGACCTCTCCGCGTCAGCTCAATATGAGATTCAAGTAAAAGCCCCCGGATTGAAATTTGATAAACTTTCAGTTAAACTAACTCCTGCAACGGAGTCTCTCCCCACCTTTGTTCCTAAAGAGGTTGAAGTCTGCGGTCGATTTATTCTATCGAATAGCTTAAGGGCAGGTGTACGCACCTTTAACTGAAAGTTTTCTTGTAAATCATATAGATTTCCATATTGATTCGTTAATTTTTTCTTACTTAGACTCGATTCCCAAATGTAGAAGTTGCGGGTGGTCCGAAAATTCAACCATCTGTTTCTAGTGAATCAAAATCAGCTAACTTTTGTGCCTATCTTAGCCCTGGAAAGCACACTCTTCGTTTGGCCAAAGCTTCAAACTTCATCAATTTTGCTCCCTCTTCAATTAATGTACGGACATTTTTACTCTTCCTGTTTTTATAAGTCCGAATCTAATAATCACTTTTCAATAGGTTGATCTTTCATCGGGTCCCGTTAGTGATCTCGTTTTCTTCCAGTTCCAAGCAGTCTTGACTGGGGAAGTTAATTGCATTGACAAGTGCCCAGTTTCAAACCTGGCTATTCGTCTTTCTTCAAGCGATCAGTCAATGTTGGAACCTGTTGTTGTTCATTTGGATGCAGATGCAGTATGTGTAGCCATTTATGAGCATTAGGAGTTGCTATCCTCTCCTATTAACTCTATTTACATCTTATAGCAAAACGAAAAACGTGCTACCTTCTCGTTTAAATCTGTAACTCCTGGAGCCTATGATCTTGAATTGTTAACAAAGGACGGAAATCAAGTAGCAAGTGGATGGTGTTGGTATTCGCCGGGTCTTATTCGTCATATTAAAGTTTCTGACCAAGATTTGCACAACACACCTGAGTTGGTCTTCCAACAAAGTGGCTACAGTCTTCATGTTAACATTCCTCTCCTTGACTATGGTTTCGGAAAACCCATTGATTTTAAAGTCACACCACAAATCGAGTTCAATGGTTCATCTACATCTAGAAAACCTATTTTTTACAGATTCACAAAACCAATAAATAGTGTAAGTGTTCTCATTTGGATTTTCTTATTTTATCGTCAGCTAATTTTTTTAATTCAAAGTATGATGCTTACTTATTCTGTCTTCTTTATAGATCTGTCTACCGGCTGGATCATTCATCTTCGAGGCTTCAACCGCCTGCTTAAAGTTGGAAACTCCATCACCTTCTAGAGTCAACTCGGTCGATATTCCAATTTCCCCACCTTCTAAACCACTTTCGATTTCAGTTCGTGAGATTCCCGTTCGTGCTGTTGTTGCGACTGAACCAAGCGTTGACGAAAACAGCCTACCAGAGCTCACTATCCAGGCTAAAATTGCTGGTAGTGTTGTTCAAAAGTCATCCTCAAAGTAGGTTCATTCATTTCCTCATTCCACCTACAGTTAATCTATTTGTAGTCTAAATAGATGTACGAATGAATGCTGCGAATTAGCTTTTATATTTGTCATAAATCGGACTAGAAAGTGTACGATATTATTGACTGGTGCCATTCTAACGTGCTCAGATTTGGCCGTTATTATCGTGGTCTCTAATAATTCAACTATTATTTCTACCGTACTTGCGTTCAGTTCGTGCTATAAAATTAGGATAGCTCTATTACAAGCTTAACAATGTTAAAATTTTCCAAATTTAACTCCTCGGATCTATTGTATTTTTCGTAGAATTGTTTCTAATAGACACAGTTTTCTGCTATACTCTAAACATGCTCCTTATGTGTGCATTGAAGCGATGTTTTTCATTAATTAATTAAGTTGTTCATCTGAAAACTGTGTTTATACAAGCTTTAAAATTGAATACACGTTCACTGATATTTCAAATGCATACTTTAATTGCAGATGGGAAAAGGAGGGTGATGTGTATGTGTCTCGCATGAATCTTTGGGCATCACCTGATTCCGAAGTGGTCTTCTCTGTATCACCCGCCAAACCGCCTTCAGATACGGATAAAGTCCACCCTCTCATTCGTCCCACTTCGCAAACTCTCCGGGTTCCATCTTTTATTTATTCACCAGCTCATTCTATAAATGATGAAGCTGAACTTGAAGGCAGCAGTACTACTCTCCCGAAAATAGATGAATCAGAGTGTAATTCCGCTTTGGAAACCGCATTCGGGGGCTCTGAACACCTCACCTCCACATTCTCCATGAAATCCGGTTTCTTCTTTACTGGAAGTATTCAACCGGCAGTTGAAGACGCTTTAGTAACCGTCTTTGCCGATACCTCAGTTGTACTTTCTCCCTTCCTTGAAGTCACCTCAAAAATGACGAAACTCTTCTCTGAACAGGAGTTGAACACCGCCTCACCGAAACCTGGTTTCGCTCTAGTTTCTCGAGCTCTCACCAACTCCCAAGGGACATTCCGAATTGGTCCTTTCTACTTTGACAAGCTTGGCGTTTCTTTAAGCAGTCACCTAATTGTTAGCGTCCAAAAACCTGGGTTTGAATTCACTAAAAAATCCCCCACTGATTTGTTGAACTTTAAAGCCGTTAAACTGGCTCTTGTTGAGATTCGTGTTGTGTCGGAGGAAACCAAAAAGCCATTACCTGGTAAATGCCTTAAAATTTTTTTTCTTGGTTTTTTTATTTAGTTCACTCAATTATTTCCTCGTTCCAGACACCTTGGTCGCTGTTATTGGAAGCGTTTATCGTGATAGTGGAACTACAGATTCAATGGGCTTCGTTCGCTACATTGGATTACCTCCTGGTTAATACTCTTTATATTTAAATCAGTAGTCTTAATCTTACAGTCTTTTCATATATCTCTTGTGTTTTAGGTGAATACTACATGCAACCAATGCTGAAGGAATACGAGTTCTTTGTGCTAAAGGAATCCAAGGGTCCTCTTGAGCATCCTATGGAACACGCGTTGAGTGTAGTTGATGGGGAATCTATGAGTGTAGAACTTGTGGGCCGCAGAGTTGCCTATTCAGCCTTTGGTGAGGTAATCAATCACCTATTTGTGTTATTTTGCCAAGAAACTCGAGATAAGTGGTATATTACTTGCTACATGTTCTTTCTAGGTGACTTCTCTTTTTGGTCACCCTGAGGGTGGAGTTCTTGTCGAGGCTAAGCTGCTTTCTTTGGAGGAAATGAAAACCTATACTGATCATTCAGTTCTTCCCATTCAAGGTGAAGAAACTGTTCCCAACTGTCAAGCACATTCTAAAGAAACTGTTTTGGTTCATCCTGTGGAGCAGACTTACACGGATAATCATGGTTTCTTTAAGATACTCGGTCTTCTTCCTGGTAAGTAGCGTATTACAAGATTGGATTTTACTTATATACATACGGCCACTTTGCTGACTTCCATATCGACGCAATTCAGGTTGTCCTTATCTGCTTTCTGCTTTCCGGAGAGAAAATGCAAGTGATTATCAAGTTCGTCAGACCTTCCCTGCTTCGATTATTTGCAAACCTCTTCGCGCC